GCAAGATTTGATGAAGATTTGCAAAACCCCAAATTTTGGATCCAATTTCGAATTTTAGGGTTTTTTCGAGTAGAAAAATTCAGATTCGAGAAGTTACAGGCCAAATTAGACAAAATGGTTTGGATATTATTGATCCTCGTCTCAAGACGAAGAGAATGACATTGGTCCCGCCGGAATCGGAAAAAGTTCATTTTCCGGCGACTTTGACCGGCGGGCGGCGGCGGCGGGGCGTGGAAGAAAAGAAAAGAAGAAATGGGGTCAAATTGAAAATTTTAAAATATATAAAATTCAAATTTGGCTCTAATGACCGGAAGTTAACCTAGAAACGGGCTAATGGCTCATTAGTGAAAGGATTGTGTAAGTTCAGGGATTTTTGTGAAAGGATTTGAAGTTCAGGTACTACTTCGAAATTCCAGCTAAAGTTCAGGTACCATTTGTGAAATTTACCCGTGAAATTCGCACTACATAGCACTAAAACATATGTCTTTTTCCAATGTAGCACTTAAATTTTTTAATTCTCTAAATAGTACGTGAATAATGTCTAGTGGCGGAAACAATGTTCAATGATGGTAGACATTTAGTTTGAGTGGTGGTAAATATTTATTTGAATAATGACCAGTAGACATTGAACATTGGTACTACATTGGTAATTGTTCTACATTAGGAAAGGTACTATATTCTAGTACTATTTAGGTAAATTCTCCTTTTAAAAATTACATATCCATTTCAATGAAGTGAAAAGTGAAGTCTATACGGGATGAGAAAGAGTCTTCTTATTGTTAAGTCTTATTTTCTTCAACTTATTTCTATTACTTATTGTTTATTTTTATTAGAATTAAATTACATTAGATTTATTGAGATCAGATAACATCAGATGATAATAATAATAATAATAATAATAATAACCATTAACAAAAATAAGTAATGATAATAATGAATAACAAAGATTAATAATTTATAATTAATAATAATTTAGAAATTAAAACAATTTTTGTTATTATAATTGTAATAATGATAATAACTGTTATTATTAAAATAATAATAATTAATTTTATAATAATAATAATTACTTCATGCAATTATTACGGGTAGTAATTATCATTATTAAATCATATCAAATTTATTCAGATAAGACTTAAAAAATTCAAATGAGATCAATAAATTCAGACAAAGAGAATACTGCGTAAAAAACATGAAATTTATCCATTTATTTCTATACCAATTTATAAATAAAATTATATTTTAAAAAAATACAGTAAGATTTTTCACGTCGTTCAAAGTATACACGAATTTGGAATGGATGGAGTAATATACTTCTTGCTCCCCAAATTGCCTTATTCCACTGTTTACTGGTCAAACTCTTTCATTTTTTATACTTATTTTCATTTGCCTTTTGTTAAAATAACATGATCAAGTTACCTCTTTTTATAGAGTATTTGATATAATGTTTTTTTAAATATAAATATTATTTGTATAATATCTATGATTATTTGAATAAATTAGACTGAAATAAACTTGGTCAAGTCTCGTTATTTGAAACAGGAGAATAGATTAGGGGATGGAGAGAGTATCATATTCATGTATGATAATTTAACCTGAACCTTATTTATTATTTATATATTTAGCAAGATCGAAATCATTTCATTTGATATTGTAGAAAATATGTAATTTTATTTTATTGAAACTATGTATGTTAAGTAAAATTGATAAAATTTCAATTAAATCAAATCAATTACTAATAATGAAAATAAATTATTTTTTTAAGAGATCAAATAAGTAAAGTGAAATAAGTTACAGAGTCTCTTGAAGCCTAGCCTCCTTATCTATAGAAAGTTTCTTCTTCCTACAGATCAGATGGAGAAGAGGTATAATTTTTTCTACAACTTCTCCCTACCACTTGCCCACTGTTTTTTTTTTGTTTTTTTCTCTTTTCATGTTAAATAAAATATGATATGATTATTTTAATTTTTGTTGTGTGTCCCTTTGATTATTGGTAGTGGTGTTTCACTCTTTTGTTTTATGAGTGTTTTTCTTTTATTTGTTTCGATTTGGTTTAGTTGATTTCCATGGTATCACGAAGAACGAATCTAGTGGTTATCTTGTTGTAATATAATGTTAAAATCGGTGTGATCTAATCCGAAATAAAGTCTATATACATTGTTGACACTTAATAGAACATTTATGATGCGTTTTTTTATTTTTAAGATATCTTTATTCTGTGTTTTCTATTACGGCTCCGTTCCGTTCAACTTATTTTTTCTGATCTGATCTTATTTTTTGTTGCTCTGATCTAATCTGATTGGATTTGATCAGATCAGATCTGATCGATCTGATATGGTCTGATTTTATTGGATCTTATCCGATTTGATCGGATCTAATCTGATCTGATTAATTATGATTTGATTTAAAATTCAAATCAATAATTTGATTTGACTTTATAATAACGTTTGAAAGTTGTAATGATAATTCATATTATAATATAATCAATATTTTTTATTTTATGATTATTTTTTAATGAAATAAAATTAGTTAATTCACATATTAGAATAATAATTCATGTTATAATGTAGTAAATTTTTTTATTTTATGATTATTTTTTTATGAAATAAAAAAATTGTTTTAATATTTTAATAATTAGTTCATATATGCATTAGAATAAATATTTAATTCATATACTCCGTATATGGATAGAGGGAGTATAAATTTAATTTATTTGTTAAAAAATGAAATAAGTTCAATCATTAAATATTTGTTGAGGCCCACCTCCAACCGCTTCCATCACCGACGATCAGGGAGAAGAATCGCCGGACGGCGAATGGCGAACTGGCGAAGTCGCTTGGACCGACGGCGGAGCTCTTCCGGAGGAAGGGTGACTGGAGGAATCAGCTCCGCCACGCCGCTCCGTCGGCTAAACAGCCTTACAACGAGATCTATGCTCCTTCGCAATCTCAATATCACTTCACTGCATCTGTTTTTCACTCTCACTCGGAACTATCGACGTTTAGAAGGTGCTTTCTCTCGTCTCTTTGCTTTTTTCCATACGGATAATTTCTTTTAATGGAATCGAGTTGTTAATATTTTGATTTCGCAATCCAATGTTTGAAATGTCGTTTGCTTGTGCTTAGGGAATTTTTCTGTTGTTCAATCTCCATTTGCATACTTGTGGGTGCTATTTTTATCTATGTATGCCTGTTTTATCAGGCTAATGTGCAGTTGATTTTCCAAGATGAATCAAACATAAGGAAAAAAAACGTCCTCTAGATTTATTTTTAAAAAAAAAACTGTCGGTTTGTTCAAGGATCCAAACATACCAATTAAATCTTCACCTTTTTTCGACTCATAATTTGACCTCTGGTTTATCTATGTTGATGCTTATGCAGGCTAGTCTCTGTTAGTGAGTTCTAGAGTGTGCAAACTAAAAACAAAAAAGAAAATCCGTTAGGCTCCGTTTGGTACACGGAATTGGATGGAAATGATATCTAATTCAATTCCAAATCCTTTATTTGGTATACTTAAGGAATTGATATAGAATTCAATTCCAAAATAAGGATTTCAATCCTAAAAAAAGGATTTCAAAATTCTTTTCCTGTGGTATAGAATGTGGTATATAATTTAAAATGTGGAATTGGAAATTTTGGAATTAGAATTCAATTTCAAATATGCAATAAATTGACATTGGTGTCTTAGCATTTTAACGTGTATCAGTGCATGGATCAACACATACATGCTACTCAGCTAGATTGTGGTAAAACACTTCTGATTTGTTATGTCATAAATCTGCACATAGAATACTGGTTTACTACTGGGTCATAACTTTATGGATCAGCTGATCCTATAAAAACTTAGCAAGCTAGTTTTATACAGCTTCGACTTAAAGATCCTAGAGTGGTTTTCAGTTTTTGCTGTATAATATACTTCTATAGTTTTGAAGTTCTGCCCACTTTGTAAGTTTTAATTAAGACACCCACCGCCCGAGTTTGTATTTTGAGTGAAACTACTTTTTTTTCTTAAATTAATAATCTCTGATTTCATGACTAAAAATATGTTCGGTGATCTGTGTGTAAAACGGCATAGGCAGTGGTTGTCAATTGTCATCTCAGCTCGGGTTTGATCTTCACATGTTTGGCGATAACTATTACATGCTGAATTTTTAATTTAAATTAACTTGATATGTTGTTAACTTATGTTTTACTTGACATGGGGTTGAACTACTTGATTATTACCTTAATTAAATTGGTAAACTCATTTCTTGATGATTATGATGTTGGTCTGATTGTGTGTTGACTAAAGATAAGTAACTCAAAGATACTGTTAAGAGAAAGAGTAACTAAAGGAACCAAGACCACAAAAAGATTTACACTGAATATAAAATGACACATACGAAATATGGATAAAAACAGCTTGTTCATTTAATCAATACAATATCATTTTAGAATTGTAACTCCATAACCATTCCACATAAGAACTGATTTGAAATTCACTTTACAAAATTTTCATTGCTCGAAGTCTAGACTCTAGAATATGATAATTTCTCATTTCAGGACCATTGTACAATATCTGACAACAACAGAAACATCGTGTTGGGACTCCAAGTAGTATCAACAATACCTAAACCTTTTTGCTCCATTTGCTCCGGCATCATGCATATGTTGATCGTACTGAACACATCCGGTTCCTTCTTCGACACGAGCTCTTTTACAGGTAGTGTTTTGTTGACTTCCTATTGAGCCAACTGTTGGTTGATAATAGGCCTCTTCTCTTACATCGTCAAGTTCTACGAAGTCCCCCAAATCGAGGAAAATTTCCTTAAAATCTTCTAATTCAAAAGAGTCAGAAGAGGTGGTCACTATTGATCCATGGGAGTGGTCCATGTGCGGTTGTTGAGGATGACCCCCCTCTGTCTCACACAGAACAACATCATTGAAATCTGAGTTCTCAAATTGAGAGAGTGGCTCCAGCAGAGCAGCAGTATGAGCTTGATTCGTATTTTCTAATAATTGCGTCTCACACAGAACATCATTGAAATCTGAGTTCTCAAATTGAGAGAGTGGCTCCAGCAGAGCAGCAGTATGAGCTTGATTCGTATTTTCTAATAATTGCTGTTGATGAGACAACGGTACGGATGTAAAAGTAGTAGAAGGAGAAGAACCAACTTCATGTATATGTTGATCGTGCTCAATACATCTGGTTCCTTTTTCGACGCGAGCTCTTTTACAGGTAGTGTTTAGTTGACTTCCTATTGAGCCAACTGTTGGTTGATAATAGGCCTCTTCTCTTACATCGTCAACTTCTACGGAGTCCCCCAAATCCAGGAAAATGTCGTCAAAATCTTCTAATTCAAAACAGTCAGAAGAGGTGGTCACTATTGATCCATGGGAGTGGTCCATGTGCGGTTGTTGAGGATGATGACCCCCCTGTGTCTCACACAGAACAACATCATTGAAATCTGAGTTCTCAAATTGAGAGAGTGGCTCCAGCAGAGCAGCAGTATGAGCTTGATGCATATGTTCTAATAATGGTTGTTGATGAGACAACGGTACGGATGTAAAAGTAGTAGGAGAAGAAGAACCAACTTCATCATGATCAGACACTTTATTAAAAGAACATGTTATTGATTCTGGGGAAAGTTCCAGGTTCGGTTGCTTTGCAGGATCGCCATGATTGGAAGAAAGAACAATTTCACCAAAACCAATATGGTCTCCTTGTTGCTGTTGATTAGACAACATGACCGATTCATCAACAGCGCCTTTCAACTTCTTCTTCCTCATCCTCCTGGTAATCTTGCACAGTGCATATTTATTGGAGTCGTGCAAGGTGAATTCGTGCATACCCCACTCGTATTCCACATCTCCAGGATGAACTGTGTTTGGCTTGTAGTTGAAGTACTTGTTGTACCCCAAAACCTGATCTGCATTATTATTATTCACCTTGGTTTCCCTAGTGCAGGACATGTGCCAAGTCCCATGTGCCCCAACCGTTCTTCCCATCTTTTTCGCACGGAGGCCTTTGCCAACGCATTGCAGTGCGGTGTAGAAGTAACAGTGCAACTCGGCCCCGCTGCCCGTGTCATCGTGAGCGTCTTCAAGATTCCAGATGGCAGAAGGGTGATCCGCGTAAATATCCAAACGGGTAATTCTCGGGTACAGCGTGGGTAACGGTAGCTTGTGAATCAGCCTCCTCAAGTAATGATCAAGAAGTTCGGAATCCGTTGGGCGGAACCTATAGCCAACTGGCGGTGGTGGGGCTTCAAATACATCACCGGGAAGATTAGGGTTCTGATAAGCACCAACTTCCATGGCTGGACGAAAGCAACAATAGAAGATTATAGTGGAATGAGAAGTTAAAGAAAGAAGGAAAGAAAACAAGAAAATATTTCAGGGTTTGTGATTGTATATTCTCTTTGATGGCCCAAGAATTGAAAGAAGACTTGAGATGAATGAATGGAAGTTTTAGTTAGTGGTGGGAAGTATATATCTGTATTCGCCGGCAGTGATTCGCAAGTAAGAGTGATCGATTTTGGAAACTTAATTTTTTCCCGTTATTCGAATTGTTAAGCAAGCAATAAGAGTAAACGGATTTTGGAAACTTATTTTTTCCCCGTTATTTGAGTTGTCATTTGATGATTAAGTCTTTGTTTCCAAATTTTAGTGCTCCGTACGTTTCTGACATTTGTAATACTCTGCCAATTTAGATTTGAGAATTTAATTTGTACTCCTTGAGTGGTATTTGATAATTATATGGATATATTTAAAATTGCATACTCCCTCTGCCCCCAAATAAATTGTCGTTTATTATTTATAGAGTTAAATGTAATTTAATTTTTTTTATTTTTTGTTAGTCATTTTATAAAATAATATGAGTATGTCAATTCTAGCTTTGTAGTTCTTTTATGTAACTTTTAAAATTTCAAATATGTATTTTTTATTTTACATCAATTTTCATTATAAATCGAAACACTCAACTTAATTTAGGACGTAGACAGTATGAGATTTTACACTTAGTTTAACTGTTTTGTCTATTTTCCGTTTTGAACTTATAGTCAAAGTATTATACTATTTGACCAGTTTCACAGTTTGCTTTGAAACCAGTTCTAAATTTAATTTTTAATGACCACTTTATAACCATTTGAATAATAAAATATGATTTTATATTAAATTTAAAAATATCAAGTATTAATACTCCCTCCGTCCTAAAACTTTCTTCTCACTTCCCCTTTTTCTCCGTCCTATAACTATCTTCCCATTATAAAAAAAGATGACAAATGACATTAATACCCTCATGTATTTACACCAATTATCTTCTAACTCTATATTTTGAATGATTGTAAAAAAAAAATTTCAAAAAATCTTTTTTAAGGAGGGTAAAATTTGAAGTCAAAGCCAAAAATTAAAAATGGAGAAAAGTCAAACTGGGAAGAAAGAATTAGGACGGAGGGAGTAATAATTAATATCTAACAACATTGAGTCCTAAAAATTTGAGGCTCTAGTGCAACTGCACACCCTTTGGGCCACCCATGCACATCACTAAAGCACTAAAGTTTTTATTTTATACAAAATTAGATCTAAGTGAGTGAATACTCATTCATGTTCAATTATATTCTTATTAATGATAAGTGGTTGATCTTCATATTGAAGTAGATCGAGCAAGTGGAGTAACGACGTGAAAATATAAAAAAGTCGGGAGCAATGGTTTTAATTATCGAATTTGGAAATATTTTTGTAAAAAGTCATATTTTGAGTAAAAAATGATCATAAAGCCAACAAAAGTTTAAACTACCACCCCTTCAATTCAATTTGTGTAAGATTATTGCCCCTCAATATATACTTATGTTTAAAAGATTATAAATACAATCAAAATGACATATTAAACTTACTTCGTTAATCACTTTCACAAAAGTTTTGGATGCTAAATGTAGCAAAGCATCAATGGTGTATTGAAAACAGTCTCTTTGGAGTATTTTACAGGGGTAAGACTGGTTATGCAATATCACCTTCTTCAAATGCTTGTTATAATTACTAAGTTTATACTTTAGTCCGAAATGAGGTGTCGACCTTGACGAATTAGAGTGTTACAAGGGATGCATAGGGAACGAGGCAAGGAGAGAATGCGAATTTTCTTTCGAAGGTAAACAGAAATCATTTTCTTCCGATTGGGAGAAAAAATATACAACAACAACAACAACCCAGTTAAATCCCACAAGAGTAGGGTCTGGGGAGGGTGTGTGTACGCAGACCTTACCCCTACTCGAAAGTAGAGAGGCTGTTTCCAAAGAGACCCCCGGCTCAACGTCGAAAGTTGCATTGCTTGACTAACTGCTACTTCATTAATTAAAGAAGCGCAGACAGTTTAGAGATCCATTTTGATTTATTCCATCACACCCCAAAGCCAAAAATGGTGAAATTTTGGCTCCATCGGAGATGATGGAAAAAGACGAACACAGGATTCGAACACTGGATTGCACGGGAGAAAGGGGCCACTACGAACCATCTCCTCTACGATGGTGGATAATTGGGAGAAAATATTTTTCCTTGAATTTTTTTTCTCACTAATATATGTTACCAAACATTCTTTTCCCTGTACACCCTAAATGTAAAGCTTTCAAACTTTGTTTCACTGAACACATGAAAAGGAAAAAAAGATGAATTTGTCAGAACTCCATTTAAATAAAAACGCTAAAAAACATATAAACATGTTAGACATTAGAGGCATTAACTAAAAACAAACAACCTATTCTCAAATACTCCCTCCGTCCCAATTTAAATCGCCTGTTTTGACTTTTGGACATATTTAAAGAAAATAAAAAATAGAGTTGATTTTTCGAAATTGACATTAATTTTTAGGAGGGGTGATGATGAATGAGAAGATAAGGTGAAGAAGAGTGACTTATTTTAGGGGTAGTTTAGGTATTTTATTTTTAAAAGTTTACGAAAACAACTAATATGCAACTTATTTTGGGACGGAGAAAAAAGGTAAACAAACAATTTAAAATGGGACGGAGGGAGTATTATCCAATATTAATTAATATAATCATAACTATTACAAAATAAGCTTGTGTAAAGCCAATAAACTGAATCGAAAAAATGAAAGGCATCTGCCCAAAAGTAGCGGTAGAGTTTAGAGAATTCATAAAAAATTTCCCCCAACATTTTTGAAATACCCTATTTTCTTCTCTAAATATTCCTTTTTTAATTAATACAAAATTCAAATTCTCCAACCATTGTTATAACGAAGTAGTTAAAGTGTTCAACAACTCAACCCAACAAAGAGTTATCAAACCATAGTTTTGAGAACCGGACCGGAGACCGAACCGGTCAAGGTACTGGTTCACTGGTTCACTGGTCGAACCGGTGATTTAAACATATTTAAAAATTATATAAATATAAATATAAATATAAATATAAATAAATAAATAAATAAATAAATAAATAAATATATATATATATACACACACACACACACATTCTCATATATAAATACATAAAGAAAGTAATTTATAATATTTTACTAAAATTATATTAACATACTTGAGTTATTTTACTAAATTAAAAGATAAAATTTATATGTTAAAAGTAATATTAAAATTTTATTAAAAACATATCAATGATTTTGTGTTTGACTCATAGCATATAATACTACGTATTATATTTTTAAAATTGAAAAGTAATTTTTATACAATCTTTTTATTAATTATGAAATATTAAAAAAATTATATAAATTTGAAACAACAAACACCGTTAGTTGGATGGTTAGAAACTTAACCAAATAGCTAAGAGGTCTTGGGTTCAAATCTCCATGGAGTGAAGTTTTGGAAAAAAATTGTAAAAAAAAAAAACTGGTCGGACCGGCCCGACCGGCCGGTTCACACCGGACCGGACCGGTTGGACCACCGGTTCGCCGGTTCACGGTCCGAACAGGCCGGTCCAGTCTGGTTTTTAAAACTATGTATCAAACACAGAGTATTCAGAGTTAACAATTTACGGCCCCGTTGATATACGGAATTTAAACTATGTAATTGAAATTAAGGACTTCAAATCTAATTCTGGTGTTTGGTAGCACAAAATATATATAGATTTGAAATTGATTGTGCAAAAAATAAATTAAAATTAGTGAATTCAATTCTATGGAATTGACTCGCATAAATTTCAATTCAAATTTAATTTTAATTCCATTAATTCCGTATCCCAAACGGACCCTAAAATAAAAATAAAAAAAAGAAAGCCCATAGCTTTCCAAGTCTTGTTGACCCGACCCAAAACCCGAATAGAATGATCCGTTTTCCCGATTCTTGTTCATCGCAGTACATAAAATGCGATTCTCCGCTGTGAGCCCTGCCCATACACTCCCCCAGTCCACAACGACTCCCCGCACTCTCTAGCTGTGCTTAAGCTCAAACACAACCTCAACCTCAATCGCAGACCGATCGGCTTCATAATCACGCGCCGTCGAGGTCGGCCATCCGGTGGCATACTTCGAAGTAAGCTGTCTTCATCTTCATCTTTAACCCCTTCGGGTTTTTGACGCATTCCGGAGAACACTAATCCGCCTCTCTGAAGGGGTTTCTTATTTATTCAATTCTTTATTCATCTGCAATCGAAAGGGGTTATTAGGGTTCTTATCGTATTAAATCTTGACTTTTGTGTCGGGGGTTTGCTGCAAATGTATTTGATGCAAATTGTGTGTGGTTGTTAATGTTTTTTTCAATCGCTTTTTCATCTTTACTACTTTGATATTATCAAGCTCTAGCTGTAAATTGGGGTTAGTCATTGTGTATTGTACATTTGTACGTTTAGTTTTGCGGGTTAAATGTTGTTATCTACCATTTTTTTGTGATTATCCACTTCCTTCTTCATTTCCTTTTGTTATTCACTCTTTAAATGATACCCTTGCTATCAAGAATCATATATACTATTGTGTCCGTTGCCTTTTGTTATTTGTTTTCCAGATCATATCATTGCTATCACATTTTCTCTTCTTTGTTTGTAGCCAATTCAGTTACAAGATATTCCTATTTCTCTGTTGAAAGATTGCAACAATGGCTAATATGGTCATAACAACGATACTAGAAAAGGTAGTTTTCTAACTCTATGGTTGCCATTTAGTGTGTGTGTGTGTGTTACTCTTAGCAGTTAGATGATTGGCTGCTCGTTATACTTGATTTTTTGTAATGCCCTAATTGGACTATAATTGCAGATGACTGGAAAGGACAAGGATTACAGATACATGGCAACTTCTGATTTGCTCAATGAATTGAATAAAGAGGGATTTAAACTTGATGCTGAACTTGAAGCAAAGGTGTGTAATGTTGTAATACAGCAGCTAGATGACGCAGCGGGTGATGTTTCTGGATTAGCTGTAAAATGGTATGCAATTTTAATTATTTATTTTGCTTTTTTACCTGAATTGAAAGATATCATGTTCCATGCACACGCCACATGTATGTTGGTCAGTGGGTGCATTGTTTCTTTGCTTATACCAACCTTCAATTGATCACCCAAAAGAAAAAGAATCCAATTTTAGCACCCTTCATTTTGGGATGTTCTAAAATAGTAAAATACATGTCCTGTCTTCTTTGGTGCGGAATTACATCTCTGGTTATCAAATGGTTTGAAAAATATTTTGCTCTTGAATTTTCTCTAATCATTGAAATCAACATTTTAACAATGATTTTTATTTGAATATTCCATTATTACCTAAATATACTCGAATATGCAATCACTTTATCTACTATTAATCTTAAAGTCTTAATTCCTACTAAAGTGTCTTATTCCTTAAGATAGGATCATGTTTGGAAGTTTTGAGTTCATAAAGGCTGATATCTAAGATGAAACAAGGGAGTGAGGGAGATGTTTGTAATCTTGTGCTAGTGTTTAAGTACTGAGGTTTATGTTCTTTGTCATGTTTCTTTTGTTTTTGCACCTTAAGTATTATGCAGCAGGGTATTATTCTTGCACTGCAGTCTGTATTGTAGCATTTTTGGTGAACCACTTCCTTGTATTAGGATGAATATCTGCAGACTATAATTTTGTACTTGTGTAAAGATTCATCATCTGGGAGAACCTTCTCATTTAATACACTATGTAACTGTATGGGAAGTGACCCCCTCCCTCCGTAAAACTATTTTATCCGACAGATGTAAATGATAATACCGTTTCATGCACAATGAAATTGAAATTGGCTATAGGAAAATTCCTCTCTCATTATTATTGGATTGTGTTTGTTACATCGTTGTCTAGCCTTGCACCTTTGGTAAAGAAGGTTCGTGAGCCGCAAGTCTTGGAGATGACAGACAAGCTTTGTGATAAACTGCTAAATGAGAAAGAGCAACATCGAGATATTTCAAGCATTGCATTAAAGACAATTGTTTCTGAAGTTCCTTCATCTGTTGTGCAATCTATTCTCGTCTCTATCTCCCCTAAGTTGATTAAGGGAATAACAGCGCCTGTAAGGTTTTTTAAAATCATCTTAATTCTTGTTTTTGAAATGGGATCTACTGGCACGGTCAATCGTGTGACCAAATGGGCAGAGAACATACTATCCTATGGCCATGTGACTTTGTTATAATGTTCTTTTTTCCTGCATTTACGTTCCTGCTAACCCTTTCCTCCCCCAGAAAATAAATGTATTTGTGGTATATTTCTTGTTCTATTTTGAAGTAGCTGATAATTTCTCTCTAATAACCAATAAATTCTGTGTTATTGTCAGTTTCATCATCATCATGAACAACACTTAAATCTGCAATAATCCCAACTAGTAGGGGTTGATGGCATGAAATTATTAGTGCCAACTAATTTAGAAGCTAATATTAGTTAACCTAGAACAGAAATTCATGAAAAAAACTGGAAAAGTTTTATTCCAGATTTCCTTCTTGTCACTACCTTCTGCATAAGATTGAATGCTGAGATAATTTATTACGCTTCTATTTACTCAGTATTTTTATTCCTTTTCTCTCAAAGTAGACTTACATGGATCAAGTTTTTGAATTTCTATTTTCAGAAGATGAACACAGAAATAAAATGTGAATGCCTTGACATATTGTGTGATGTTCTTCACAAGTATGGGACTCTGGTTACATCTGATCATGATGTATTGCTGAGTGCATTAATACCTCAGTTAAGTTCCAACCAAGCCAGTGTTAGAAAGAAAAGTGTATCATGTTTAGGTATGTACTTTTGGCAGTTTGGGACCTAGCATTTGCCTTGATCAGTTTTATGTCTTACTTCAGTTACTTCATCTATTTGCTTTTTCCCCCTTGCCATCAGCATCTTTGGCATCAAGCTTGTCTGATGATTTATTGGCAAAGGTCACAACTGAAGTGGTAAAACTGTTGAGCAATAAGGGATCAAAACCTGAGATGACACGAACTAACATTCAGATGATTGGGGCGCTAAGGTAGCCATACCCCGCTTTGCATATTCATATTGGTCATGTTTGGTATGTCATAAACTAGCTATTAGCTTTTCAAATAAGTTGTGTTTGGTTGGGCCTACTACTTTTATAATTTTAATTTTATTAAACTTCTTAGAGTAGCTTTTAATTAGCTTTTCAAACATCTCATGTTTATCTCTTTTCCTTCCCTTGTTTTTCGCGGATCCTTTCATGTTTTGAGCCAGGGATCTTTTCGAAACAACCTCTCTACGCTTCATGTAGGGTTAATGTTTGCGTACACTTACCCTCCTTCAAATCACTTTATTGTATTTCCCCCGGATTATTGTTGTAGTAGTATCTTTTAAAATGAGCTAATAAGTTTTTTGTGTATAGTTCCTTTTTAACCTCATGCTCCTCATTTATAATATAAAATTATTTCTAAAACTATTTTTTTTTGAGATTTTGTATTTCTAAACTAGTTTATGAGACAACTTTATCTGTTTATCATATAGTATATGAGATTAGCTAGCTTATAAGCTATTAGTATAAGTTATGAGGTATTCTCTATAAATCTTTAAGTCAGGAATTAGCTTATCAGCTATTAGCTAACTTATTTATAAGATATCATGGTCCAAACGAAGGAATTCCTAACCTCTCAGTTTAAGGTATTCTCAATTTGTATAAAGCTAGTTTGCTCCCAAGGATATTCTTATATAGAGGTTTCACATAAAGGATTAGATGTTTTATTGTATGTTCATATGTTGAATGTTGCCTCAATAGTCCATACTAACATTGAGTTTTAATTATTTATTTACTAGCCGTGCTGTTGGGTATCGTTTTGGTCCCCACTTGGCTGATGCGGTTCCAATACTTATAAACTACTGTGTTACTGCATCTGAGAATGATGAGGAAGTTCGTGAGTATAGTCTGCAGGTGCTTCTTTGTGATTATGTGTCTTACAGATTTTCTAAACTCTTTCGTCACTCATCCTACTTTGCGTGTGTATTTAAATTGAATTCGATCTTTCGCAGGCACTTGAGAGTTTCTTGCTAAGGTGCCACAGGGATATTTCTTCTTACTGTATTAAAATTTTGCATCTTACTCTTGAATTTCTGAGCTACGATCCAAATTTCACGGATAATATGGAAGAAGACACAGATAATGAACTTCAGGAGGAAGATGAGGACGAGTAAGATGAATTGGAGTTTCCTTGCACATGCTATTTTTATTTATGCACTTGTACTTCATCTCATGTGCGATCCTTAATGGAATTGCAGTGAAAGTGCGGATGAGTATACTGATGATGAAGATGTTAGCTGGAAGGTTAGGAGAGCAGCTGCAAAATGCTTAGCAGCACTAATTGTGTCTCGCCCTGAAATGATCTTGAAGTTATATGAGGAGGTATATTCTTGAAGTTAATCCCCTCTTCTTTTTGAATTTAAGGCACTCTTATTAGTGGCATTGCGATTGAAGTTGATTTACTTCTGCTTTGTTTTTTTGCACTCTAATGTTAAAAGGGGGTTTTGGCTTATCATGTCTTGTTAACGGAAGACATTTCTACTAACTTCAAATTAAAAATTTCTAATCACTTAATTTTAATACAGGCTTGCCCAAAGTTAATTGATAGGTTTAAAGAAAGAGAAGAAAATGTCAAGGTAAGCTCAAGAGTTTGTCCGATTTCTTTGATGGGATATTTTCAGCTTTCTAAGCAGTTATTTTGCAGATGGACATGTTCAACACATTCATTGAGCTGCTGCGACAAACAGGAAATATCACGAAGGGACATTCAGACTTCAACCAGTCAAGGCAAGATTATCTTTTTCATGCAGAAAATGCTTATTCATCTGGTTTTCATGGGAATGACTGCACTGCTTGTGTGCTAACTGCGTATTGTTTTTGGGGGAAAGTCTTTTCCTATTGTTAATGTTAAATAGTTGTAACCAGACACATACTTTCTCTGTAGCACTTCTATTTATACCACTGCTCAATGGATAATTTTTCATTGGCTTGTCATGCAGTCCTAGATGGTTGCTAAACCAAGAGGTACCCAAAATTGTTAGATCTATAAATAAGCAGCTTCGGGAGAAGTCTGTGAAAACAAAGGTACATGCATGTTCTTATTCTTTTAAAATTGTTATTCTGTATGCTACTAGGCAGCCCAATTGCTCATTCCATGCTTCCTGCAGGTTGGTGCATTTTCAGTTTTAAAAGAATTGGTGATTGTCCTGCCCGATTGCCTTGCAGAGCATATTGGGTCACTCATTCCTGGAATTGAAAAGGCATTATGTGTAAGTTGAACGCTTTGAGGCTTTTCTACATTCTCTTTCTCCCTTTTAGAAATTAATTCTAATTTATCATTTATTGTATCAGGACAAGTCTTCTACGTCAAACTTGAAGACCGAAGCCCTTCTTTTCACTAGATTAGTATTGGCTTCTCATTCTCCTCCTGTTTTCCACCCACATATTAAGGTAATGACTCCGGTATTGCTTCTCGACTCCATATGTGTTTTGAATTATGTATTAGCACATAGAATCTCTCAACCATTCTTCTATATGCATGCAAGAGTTTTGCTTTTTAGATATGTCCAATGCTCACCACATTCATTCATTTTGGTAATTTGTAAAATTTGGTTTTTAAGTAATTGAGTTTCATGAGCATTATTGAGCACATGTTCATTTGTTTAAACTTAGAACACTTGAATCATTGAATGAGATAAGGGTATGCTGTCTAGTACAGAGTATGTAACTAGTGTTATTCCTTGACGTTTCCAGGCGATATCTAGTCCTGTAATAGCTGCTATTGGTGAGCGATACTACAAAGTTACAGCAGAAGCATTAAGAGTTTGTGGTGAACTTGTTCGTGTTTTGCGACCTGATATTCATGTGAGATTTCTTGATTTCTACTCAACCCTCTGTTTAAAACTTTTATTTCAAAACATTCACATGCTAAAAGATTTTTGTTTTTTCCGTGAGGAGTACAGGCTCACTGTTTTGATTTCAGACCCTATGTTCATCCCATATACAATGCCATTATGGCACGCTTCACTAACCAAGATCAGGATCAGGCAAGTTGAACTCTAAAACCTGGAATATTCCTATTCACCTGTAGACTGACAGTGTTTTCCTTTTTTAGGAGGTTAAGGAGTGTGCCATTACTTGCATGGGGCTTGTTGTTTCAACTTTTGGTGATCACTTGCAAACTGAATTACCTACTTGCCTTCCAGTTCTTGTTGACCGGATGGGAAATGAAATAACTCGTCTAACTGCAGTGAAGGTTGTTTTGGACTTGATTTATTTTGTTTGCTTCATTCTAATGAGTGCATGCCTTTATAATCATTCTTTGTTTAACTCCACGAGCATATGAACTTCCTTGAGCTTTTTCGCTGGACAATTCATTATCATGACCTATACTAATAATTAGTGTATCGTTCATTGGAAAAAGTGTGACTCATTACAATGTTGTAAAGTAGTCCGTATTATTACATAAACTTAATGATTTAATAAAGTGTGTTAGAATGTAAAAACTTCATTTTGATGGGTGAAAAGTGAAAACTAAATCTCTGTGAAATGCAAGAAACAAGATGTATTTTCAAGACCAAATGCTGTTATTAAATATAAAGTATGTGAGCGTAGGATTAGTGCAATCAATGTGTGATGACTGATGACTAAGCAGCAATTCACAACACTTCAAATCTAGAACACCATGAGAGATCAAACATATTGAAGTTGATTGCCCCCTCATCTAAGAACTATATTCCTGGATATATCATTACCATTCACCAACTATGTCAACACAGAGGAACAACTTTACCTACATTTTAACAAGCTCTCCAGTGGAGTGGAGTTTTGTGCTGTGTAGGAATCATTCAGGTGTCTCTGAAGTTGTATTACAATACCATTACAACAGCTTAATGGTGTTGTATGTATAATGTGTATGTTAACTTAGGTTAGTAAATTGCTCAGTTTTGGTACTGTAATAGCTTATTTAAAACATGAAATTGACCACAAATCTTTTGTTACACACAAATGATACATTTTTAGTAGATTTTACTCATGACATTATTGTTAGAATATAAAAACCTTTGTTGGGCCTACAACCACAAGCTTGAGGTTTTGGTTGAGTTGATTCCTTGACATGGTATGAGAGCCCTGGAGTTCGAACCTCACTCCCACCCAATTTTAAGTAAATTAAGGTTTCACATACAAGGCTCGAAGCAGCTGTGCTTCCTTGTGAGGGGCGTGTTAGAATGTAAAAACTTGACAGGCATACTCCCTCCGTCCACCAAGTTTCAGTGTTGGCATGCATTATACAAAAAAAGTGAAATTGTATGATTGATATTAACTATGTGAAGCATGGATAAAGTAAGGATGTTTTATTACCACACAAGTATGTGATGAGACAGATAATGAGATGCACAGAATGGTAAAAAAGGGACAAAACAAAGGCAGTGTCTGTTGTACTAGTATTGCTGATGTTGTGTAACATTCGTGCAGGCTTTTGCGGTCATAGCAGCTTCTCCATTGCACCTTGACCTATCATGTGTTATAGAGCAAGTGATTGCTGAGCTAACTGCATTTTTACGGAAGGTGAAAACAGCTTCTATTTTAATGTGAATGCCTAAAACTGATAAAGACCAAACAGTTCAGAATAATGAAATTATCTTAATTGCTTTAAATTATCGGAGAATAGGCCAATCGGGCACTTAGGCAAGCTACTCTTGGGACACTAAACACCCTCATTGTTGCCTATGGTGATCAAATTGGGTCAGCTGCATATGGAGTTATTGTTGTGGAACTTTCATCATTGATAAGGTTTCATATTGCTCATCATTCCCTCTGGTTTTTAATTGATTGACACAAGTTTCATCACTGAATCTAATCATTCTACTTGCACTTCAGTGATTCTGATCTGCATATGACTGCACTAGCACTGGAGCTCTGCTGTACCCTAATGGCTGACAGGAGATCGAGCTCAAGTGTTGGCTTGACTGTGAGAAATAAAGTTCTTCCTCAAGCACTGGTTCTGGTGAAAAGCTCACTGCTTCAGGGTCAAGCTCTCTTGGTAACCCTCTTATGTACTTGGATCCTGATAATTATTTTCTTTTACAAATATTTGATTGGTTGATAAGGGAGTGTGAATTACAATATCTGTACTTTTATCTGCAGGCTCTACAAAACTTTTTTGCTGGTTTGGTTTCTTCAGCAAATACAAGCTTTGATGAGCTACTTGCGTCTCTGCTATCAACTGCCAGACCTACCCAGTCTGGTGGTGTTGCAAAACAAGCCTTATTTTCTGTTGCACAGTGTGTAGCTGTTCTCTGCCTTGCTGCGGAGGGTAAAAAATTGTCATCTACCGTAAATATGCTCACAGAGATCCTAAAAGTAGATAGCAGCACTAATTCGGTAGGCCCTTATTGCACCTGCATTTTCTAGGATATTTTCTTCCCTATTATAGATGGAATAGGAAAAAACCAGGGTCCTTTTTTTACTTCAATTTTAATTTTCCATCTACAATCATGCACCACTGTATTTTTCTAGTTTTTCATTTTGGAGATAAACAAATGTTAATGGAATTTGGTGTAAAATAGAGTAGGAACTTAAATAAGTTCAGTTTGTAAATGCACCTTAAAAACTCGCAATATGGAACTACAAGACAGACCATTGTTATGACTTAAGATACATAATGGTATGTTGGTGGTGTCTGCATTCCTGATGTTAGTCCCCTATGTACATAGAATTAATATCCTTCTAAACATGTAATGCAATTGGGAAAAGACATTAAGAAACAAATTTCATGTACTTCTTATCATGTTACAAGTCAACTAACAAATGTTTTTCCATTCTATGCCACTTGGAGAATATCTTCTCTTAAATTTTACTGGTTATATATGTTTTAAGGAAATCGGTGGGTTTATCTTTCTTTTCTTCATGGTATGAAGATTTTGAAAATCAAACTTCATCTTCCAATATACCTTTAAATTTGTTCTATTGCTTTTTTTTGAAGGCCAAGCAACACCTTGCCTTGCTATGCTTAGGAGAAATTGGGCGAAGAAAAGATCTAAGCTCACACACTCATATAGAAAATATTGTGATAGAGTCCTTCCAGTCACCATTTGAAGAGATAAAGTCAGCTGCTTCTTATGCTCTTGGTAACATTGCTGTTGGTAACTTACCAAAGTATCTACCCTTCATCCTAGACAAAATTGATAACCAGCAAAAGAAACAGTACCTACTGCTTCATTCATTGAAGGAGGTTTGTTCCAGTGCACCTCAATTTTTATGTTTCTCATCTTGACAGAGTATATGGGATGATATTTTTACTTTACCTAATTATGTTCAAACATATGCTTTTACAGGTAATAGTAAGGCAATCTGTGGACAAAGCTGAGTTTCAGGATTCTAGTGTTAACAAGATACTTCATCTGCTATTCAACCACTGTGAAAGTGAGGAAGAGGGTGTTCGAAACGTGGTGGCTGAATGCCTGGGAAAAATAGCCCTTATTGAACCAGAAAAACTCGTTCCAGCCTTGAAGGTTTTCACCTAAAATCTTTGTCATTCATACCTAAAACAGATGCAATCAAATTTCACGAAGTGAGGGTTTTGGGGGGGTGCGTGTTGGTGGTACACAGACCTAACCCCTACTTGAATAGTAGAGAGACAGTTTCCAAGCGACCCCCGACTCAAAACATTTTTATTCATATCTATCCAAAAAAAAGGATAAACAAAAAACAGTATTGTGTGCCTATGTGAAGATATCAGTATTTCATATGTTTTTTTTAATTTATTGCGGTGGTAAAGTCTGGACACCTAATATCCTAATGTGCACTTTGTGTAGGAAAGAACTTCTAATCCAGCTGCTTTCACCCGAGCAACAGTGGCAATTGCTGTGAAATATTCTTTAGTTGAGAGGCCTGAGAAGATAGATTCAATTTTGTCAAATGAGATCTCATCCTTCCTCATGCTCATCAAGGATGATGACCGGGTAATTGGAAAATACTATCTGACATTACACATGAAATACTTCAACTGAAACAATCTGAGTCCCTTGTAATTAGTGGCTCTTTACAAATTACAATTGAAAAATATTGCTGTCCTTTGCTGATTATTTATACAATGCATGCGGTTTTAAGGTTTTTATGTTTGCGTATCTTATATCTCCTGTTTTATTTGTAGTCATATATTTTATAATGTCATTAAGTGATTTTGCAGCACGTTAGGCGTGCCGCTGTTTTAGCATTGAGTACTGCTGCTCATAATAAGCCTAACCTAATAAAGGGTCTTCTGCCAGAATTGTTGCCTCTCCTCTATGACCAGACTACAATTAAGGTAATACAATGCAAGATCTTTTTCAATGTATACAAGTGTCCTTAAGAGTTTCAAAGTAACATACTGATGTGGAAGATTAGTGCTCTCTCATATTTTTGATACACATGTCACAGTTCCCTGAGGTTTAAATGTCTGAACCCTTTCGGTTCAATTCCTTTTTCTTAGATGATTTGTTTTTGTTATCCACAACTTTTTGTTTCTATGTGCAGCAAGAATTGATCAGAACAGTTGACTTGGGTCCTTTCAAGCATACAGTAGACGATGGGCTAGAATTGCGAAAAGCTGCATTTGAATGCATGGACACGTTGTTGGACTCCTGTCTTGACCAAGTGAATCCTTCATCTTTTATTGTTCCATATCTTCAGTCTGGTCTTGATGGTGAGTTTCATTTTTTCTTGTTTTTTTTCGTTCAGAATCATAAGCTAATCATTGGCAATGGTGTCTATGGAATGCAGTCATGCACATAAAATTTAGACAGTTGTAACCTTATTATTTACCATTCTGTCCAGACCATTATGACGTTAAAATGCCGTGCCACCTTATCCTGTCAAAACTTGCAGAGAAGTGCCCTTCAGCTGTCTTAGCTGGTATTTTCTCTTCTTTTACTGGTTCAGTCGTAGATGCTTTGAAAATGCCGCATTTTATTAAGTAGAACAATCTCTGGGTAAAGAATATATTGATTGAAGTGGAATGACATTTCTTTTGCAGTTTTGGATTCTTTAGTGGATCATCTCCAGAAAACTATAAATTTTAGACCAAAACAAGATGCTGTTAAACAAGAGGTAGACCGCAATGAAGACATGATTCGAAGTGCCCTCCGAGCAATTGCATCCTTGAATCGTATTGGGTAAGTATATTTTCATGATCATTATATTTTAGAGCCTTGTTTGAACTTCTATGCTGGAAACTTGGTTCTGGACTTCTGGTGATAAATGTGATCGATCCATCCAAGAAACTAGTTAGTTAAAGAATTTGCTCCTAAATTAACCTCTTTTGAGTTTAAAAAATGGGAGGAAGAAAAGATGAGTTTAAAACCTTCATAATACATTTTGTATGATGGGATTTCTCATGAGGAATTTGTATTTGAGATGAAATAATATGAACCACATAATTATTTCCTTAAAAGGAAATGAGAAAATTATCTTGGGAGGGAACTCAAAAAGGAAAGTGGGAACATAAAAAGGGATTCATAGAGTGTTTATTGCAATAATTAAGTGATTAACATGTTTAACTCTAACCGGTACAATAATATCTTTATTTTGCTGAAAAATGGTTGTGATCACTCAATACATATTTCTAATAACTCTTTCTTTTCTCTTGCCTTTAGCCAGACCTGCCAATCTGACCCATTATATTTCATTCCAGAGCTTTTCTTACAACTTCCATATACTAGTAGCATGAATATTCTTTTCATTATAATGTGCAGAGGAGTGGATTACAGCTACAAGTTTAAAAACCTCATGGCAGAAATTGCAAAGTCCCAAACTTTATGGGACAAGTACTGTTCCATCAAGAACGAGTGACTTTTTCCTATCTGTACCCAAGGAATGCGTATACAAACTCTATCCTCCACACAAATGAGAAGGTTAGTTTGCCTATGTAGCTGCACATGAGATTGAGGGTAAAGCAAGTAAAGAGTTTAACAATGTTGGGGCTGTGGAATATATGTATATATAGTTTATATTTGTTGTGTATATATGATCTATTTGTAGCTGATTGTTGAGATGCATATCGATGTAGGCAAGGATTGATTCAACCCGCCTGGAGCGTTATTCCTCTAAAAGTCTCGAGTAATTTGTAAGTTGGTATTTTCTTTAACTCACACAATCCAGTTTGGAGATTTTGTAATGTATAGCATCAGTGTGGTTTTCACCAATGATGCCTAGTTTTGTCCACTTGGTCAACTTCAAGATTGGATTCCTAGTTTGAATGAATGGGTTCTTGTTTGTTTAAAGCTTTTTCAAGTGAAAGTCATGGGATGGTGGATAAATGTTGGTATATGGTAGGGTTGTTAAAAATATACGATTTGAAATCCACTTTCTTCCAACATTTTATTCTGAAATTTTAACCCAAAATAACAGGGCTTAAACCAACAATTTAGGGGATAGGGGGGCTGGGTGGGGTTCAGGAGAGGCAAGGGAGTTAGGGGGTAAAAATTATTAATTTTACCAACGAAGCATCAATACCATTTCAACGCCGAAAGATTTTTTACGAGGTTTCTAAAAATATACTCACAGATTTTATTTAATAATTTCATCTCAAATTTTAGTTAACTCAATATAAAATTAAGAGTACTTTTTTAAATGTAAAAAAAATAAACAATTTATATTTCTTCGTCACATAAAATTTATTACACTTTCGGAATGTCCCGAAAAATACACACTTTATTCTTTATTTTGTGATAAATACGGAGCATGTGGCTGGCAACAATTGTCCATCTCTCTAAATAAATTTTAATCACACTCTTTAGTCTTTACAAACACTCTTTATATTTTTGCAATTTTTTTAAATCTCCTAAAATCAAAATATCATAAGTTTTATGAGGAGGGAGTATAAGTTTTGTTCGTGTTTAGCAGTGCAATATATATATATATATATATATATATATATAACCTCAACTAGGACTACTGAATATCTTTAAGGACATGTTTATTTACAAACTTAGTTTTAGAATCAACTACACAAATTCTAGACCATAGCTTGTAAAATAATTGAAAGGCTTTCTTTTTTTTCTTGATCGATAAGGCCGATGGAAAGTGCTCCAAATATCTTTTCTTCTCTCTCAGATTACCGGCTTTAAAAATTGTGAGGAGAAGCGTAGAATATATATATGGATAAAAATAACATTACTAGAGTGAAAAATAGAAATCATAAAATCATAGCTATCTCCTTAAGATCGAATGGCAAACCAAGTTTTTGAAACTTCCAAAAACATTGGGACTCTTTGTCTCGAATATTGCAACTTCTCAAAAATCAAAATTAAAGCATAAAATCCGATCTTCTAAAAACGCATGCAGGGCTCCTGTTTGGAATAACTCCGCACACCATAATATATACTGTATGTCACGATGCTCCAACTCTATACTAAAATAGCTAACAAATAGTTCTAAACAAAATTATTCATTTGTCAAAAAAATAATGCCAACAACTGAAAATTACATGGAACTAACAATTCTTTTGATAAGATAATGTAAGGAAATTTACCTAAATGGTACTAAATTATAATGACTTTTCCAATGTAGTAATTGAAATTTCCACAAGTACATCGTAGTAATTTTAACAAGATAAATCACAAACAGCACAGTAGAGACGTAGTTGGAAATTGTGTTGTAGCTCAAGGGTAAGAGGCACATGATAAGATGCTACAACACCTTTTCCGACCGCTAGCAGCACACACACAAAAAGAACAAAGCAAATTAAAGACACATTGATTTGTTTACGCAGTTCAGAGCTGGATCTCCTACGTCTGTGAGGCACACATCCGTGTAATAGCTTTTCCATAAGATCAACGTAAGAAATACACAATCAAACTTCAATAGATCTTTTTAATGAATTGACTTGTCTACTTACGTGATCAGACGACAAACTCGGTTTGTGTCACTACAAGGCCTATTACAGCTTTTTCTTGCTCTGCACGAAGGATGTGTTTCTGACCTTTGCTCATCTTTCAGATTGTGCCAACTAAACAGCTTTAGAGGAGATTATTCGATAATCGATCTCCTTATCATCAAGTTCAGGATCATGTCCTTGGTTCTGCAATTTGTATGATATGTGTCTCTCGCATTTGGTAGACATCTTGCCTGTTAATATAGATGCACATCTCAGAACCCTAGTGGAGTCCAACTAGAGTCCTTGATCCAATCTGGAGGAGTTCGCAACCCATAGATTCCGTAGAAGTGATTTTCTGCTGGTGCACGTTATCTCGTAGATGGACTCCCACATGCCCAGACTTCTAATTTCACAGGGACACTTCTAGCATGGACTACTACAAATGAGTGATGACTGGCAGGATGTTACAACTCTATTCTTGAAAACGACTAATCTGTTAAGACATACTACAGAAAATGGTTTGTCAAAAAATGATGCCAACAAAGGGTACGGTATAATACAAACATCTCATAGGAACTAACAGTAACATATGTTTTTATTTCCCAATATAGTACCACTAGTCTTTGCTCATTGGTCATTGTTCAAATAAATGTCCAATGCCATTAGACATTGCTCAAACTAAATATTCATCATCACTGGACATTATTCCCACCACTGGACATTATTTAAGTACTATTTAGAGAATAAAAAACTTTAAGAACTAAATTGAAAAATGATCTATGTATTAGTACTATTTAGTGCAAATTCGATAATATAAACATCAACGAGCATTTAGACAAACGGAGTAATATACTTCCTCCGTCCCTTAACGTTGTTCTCGTTTCGACTTTTAGAGAATTTAAGGAATTGATATTTTTATGTTGACTTTCCAAAAATATTCTTTATGTGATTAATAAAAGTAAGATGTAAAGAGTAGATTATTAGCAAAAAGGTATGATGTGATAGATAAAATTAGAATTACTGGAGATAAAAGTAGTTTTTTTAATAAAAAAGAGAAAGACTTTATGGGACACAAAAATAAAGAAAGGAAAAGAATATTTAAGGACGGAAGGAGTATAAGATATGGAGTATTTGATAAAGTATTTATGATAAATACACTACTCCAAATACAAGATAAGACTAATATATGCATGCACTACCATATTTTACATTATACTGTCACTATTATTTAATTAAAAATTATTAAAAATGAACGACCGATAAAAAATACTAAAAATATGTTGTTTAACTAAACATTCTTATTATTCTATCTTTTTTTCTTTCATTTTATGAGTACATACATGTATTTGTATGATTACAATTATTATTATTATTATTATTGTTATTATACATTATTATTATTATTACTACTACTACTACTACTACTATTATTATTATTATTATTATTATTATTATTATTATTATTATTATTATTATTATCATTATTATTATAAACATGCTACACCAATTAAATGATACACTTTCACCAATTATATAATCTGAGTATTACTCCGTATCAATTATACATGCATGTGAATTTCGTACATCGTGCCTACTCACGTACTGATTAAATGATTTTAAAACCCCAGCCTGCCTAGGGTCCATATTACTCCCTCCCTCTCCCTGTATTTGTCCACTTTCATTTTTACACACCTTCCAATGTACTTCTTTAATCCATTTTATCTTGTAATTTGTATATTAAAAAATTATAAAAATTATATATTAATAATCTATATGTTAAGACAAATCAAACAAGATCACACATGGCTATATTTAGGCTTATACATTGATAGAATTTGATGAGTCAAAGTGCTTAGATGAACAGTTCCAAAAGTCAAATGTGGACAAATACAGAGGGACGGAGGGAGTACAAATTTAGGCCAAATAGCTCCGGTGCCCCCTGTGGTTTAGAAAATTGGCACCAATACCCCCTCTATTTTCAAAACTTATTTCTAAAGTCTCCGTGGTTTCAAAATGCTGCACCCGTGCCCCCTCTAATCATTTTCCGGCCATTTTCCAGCAAAGAGGGGGCATTTGCGCATAATTTTTAAACCATAGGGGGCATTCGTGCCCATTTTTTATTTTTCGTTTATTATTTGTGTTTTGCTTTTTTAATTATTTTCTATTTCTTTTTGCTTTTCCTAGATTTTTTTCTAATTTATTTTCAATTTTTTATAATGTTTTAAAATTTTAAAATTTTTTTGTGTTTGAAATAAAAATAAAAAAATTAACATACTGTACATTGCATCTATTTGAAATTAAACATTTTCACTTTTTATTACGTACTTATTTGGAAAGTTCAAAAAGAAAAACCTAGAATAAAAAATAAAAAATATGGAAAAATAAATTGAAAAATAAAAATACACAAAAAAAGTCTGATACAAAAAAATGGACAAGCCCAAAAAAGTCCTTAGAATTGAGATGTTCGAAAAAGATATTCATTTTTATTTTTGTATTATTTTGTTTCTTATTTTATTCCTCAATTTTTTGAAATTCTCAAAAAAAAAATTATTTTTTCCAGAAAAAACAAAAATTGTTGATTTGAGAAGTACATATATATATATATATGTATATATATATATATATATATATATATATATATATATATATATATATATATATATATATATATATATATATATATATACCCCGGAGTACATTATATGTTAATTTTTTCAAACAAAAATAACTTTAAATTTTATGAACATTATAAAAATAATTTTAAAAAAGAACTTTATTAATAAAAGAAACAAATAAAGGAAAAAATGGAAAAAAAACAAAAAAAATAAGTGAGAAATAAATATCAGCACCGATACCCCCTGTGGTTTAGTAAATATGCACCAATGCCCCCCTTCTTTGCCGGAAAAATGGCCGGAAAATGATCAGAGGGGGCACGGGTGCAGTATTTTGAAACCACAAGGACTTTAGAAATAAAATTTGAAAACAGAGGGAGTTTTGGTGCCTATATTGCAAACCACGGGGGGTACTGGCGCTATTTGGCCTACAAATTTACAACATGAGTTAAAATCGTCTCAATTTTGAATAAAGATATACTTTGTCCAAAAATACTTGTCATATTACATAAAAAATCATTGATATTGACACTCCAAAAATTACTAGTTGCACTCCACTTCTTTTTTATATTTCGTTATTTCCCTAAATGCCCCTCAAGCACTTCATTTTTTGGGTACTTCACCTCACCACGACACCACTCCATTGTTCATAACAAAATTAAATTAGTTCATTATTGATTTATGTATCTGTTTACTAATTCATGCATTAATTTTTTAAAAAATATTTTTTTCACAGGTCCCATAATGGCCTTTTCACTTTTTCTATCGTTTTTTGAAAAAAGAGTAT